TTTTTTTTTTTCAATTTTCACTTAATGAACGTTCACGAACATTCACGAATGATTAAGAAATTCTATCGAAGTAAAATTTATATTTACATGTAAATGATAAAATTTACAAATAAATGATAAAAGAATTTTATTAATCTTTGTACGTTTTACATTATTTGTAAATTTACGTTACGTTCGAAATATTCAAATGTTATTTTATTCGAAACAGTTCGATGATCGTCATAAAAATAAATTTCTAGAAAAGTTTTATATCTATATAGCACTTTATACATACCTTACTACGAAATATGTATTCTAATTTAAGAATAGTTTAATTTATGTCAGCGAATTGATACATCTAATTTATAACATGATATTACATCACATATCACATATGTCTGACTGTTACTAAAAATACTAATAACTGTATGTGTATGCGATATTAGGAAAATATTTACGTAAAAAATACTTTGCTAAATAATAAGTACTAATTCAATCCAATATCAACGCAGATATTTTCTGGATCCTTCATACATCACGAGGAATTTTCTGGATCATTCGTATATATCACGACAAATTTTCCGTCTTGGCAATGATATTAGTAAACAATATATGATATATAACACGTAAATAATATATTCTAAGCAAGATATTCTTAATTGAAGTTGGCAATCTTTCTTGGTTGATATATACACATATGTAAGAATGTACATACTTGCTAATTTAGATTCGAAAGTTTGGCGCGAAAATTAATTTAAACAACTTATGTAGTATACACTTTTATTATAAATAAAAAGTATTTAGTCTTTGAAACAAGGACTTTTATTTTCATTTCTTATTATTATAAATATAATTACTTTGTACCATAGATATCCTTTGTTACCTAGATTACTATATAATACAATGTAATTTGGTGCAATGTTTAGACTCTAATTTCTCGAGATTTCGATCAAAATTTGAAGATATCAAGCATGAGTGCGCCAGCAAAAATAAAAAAGTTAGACGAAGTTGTAGTAAATAGAATCGCTGCTGGTGAAATAATACAAAGACCAGCAAATGCATTAAAAGAATTAATAGAAAACAGGTTAGATATTTTGATTGTTACATGTATTTTACTAAACTTAATCCTGTAAATGTTTCAGTCTTGATGCAAAAGCAACTAACATACAAATTATTGCTAAAGAAGGTGGATTAAAATTATTACAGGTAGATTAAAATTAATATTACTTCTCTATTTAAATAGAAAAGTATTAAACAGAATAGTACTAAATATTTATTATTAATCAGATTCAAGACAATGGAACAGGTATCAGAAAAGAAGATATGGAAATTGTTTGTGAAAGATTTACAACAAGTAAATTACAAACATTTGAAGACCTTCAGGCAATAACAACTTTTGGATTTCGTGGTGAAGCTTTAGCAAGTATTAGTCATGTATCACTTTTAACAATCACAACAAAAACTACAGATGAAAAATGTGCTTATAAGTATGTTTATTTCTGTAAAATTTTACAAATATTGTGGATCTTTTTTTAATGATATTTTTTCATATTAGAGCATCATATGTTGATAGTAAACTAAAAGCACCACCTAAATCATGTGCTGGCAATCAAGGTACTACGATATTGATTGAAAATTTGTTTTATAATGTTGCAACAAGAAGAAAGGCTTTGTGCAATCCAAGCGAAGAATTTAACAAAATTTCAGATGTAGTTACAAAATATGCAATACATAATTCTACTGTAGGATTCACATTAAAAAAACATGGTGAAATTACACCTCAGGTATTTTATTATGTATAAAAAATTATATAGTTGAATGTTATTATTTGTAAATATATGAACATATTTTCAATATCTAGGTCCGTACACAACATAATTCAACTAAAATGAATAACATAAGAATACTTTATGGTAATCCTGTATTTCGTGAATTATTAGAAGTGGAACTTAAAGATGATACCTATAAATTTAAAATGCATGCTTTAATAACAAATCCAAATTACACAAACAAGAAGATGATATTTCTTTTATTCATTAATAACAGATTAGTAGAATCTTCTTGTAAGTTTTATAGTGTTAGAACAAAAAGAATTTATACCCACAAATGATCTACAACTATTTTATTTCAGCTATTCGAAAAATGTTGGAAGAACTTTATACATTTTATCTTCCAAAAAAGAACTATCCATGGTGTTATATATCTCTAGAAATTAATCCACAAAATGTTGATGTTAATGTACATCCAACAAAACATGAAGTTAAATTTCTTCATGAAAATTCTATTATTGAAAGAATGAAACTTGCTTTAGATGAAAAACTCTCTGGCAATAGTGGTTCTAAAACATTTTATATACAAGCACGGTTACCAAAAGCAGATATTACCAAAGAAGTTTTAAAAGAAGTTTTACCAGAGTATGAAAAAGATAAAAGTGACAAAATGAAAAAAATTCATCCTCGAGAAATGATCAGGACTGATTCATCTGATCAAAAGTTAGACAAATTTAATTTTACTATTCACACAGCAATGGAATATGCTAAAAATAATGATATTGATTTTGAAAATGAAAAAGTTGAAAATATCGATAAGAATGATGAAAAAGACGTAAATAAAATACAGTGTTTAACAGATGTAACTGATATAGAAGAAAAAGATATATCGACGCAGATTAAACCAGTAACAACAGAAAAGTCTAATACTCCATGGAGCAATGTCATAGATGATACAAGTCCTTCTGTGACAAGCTCCGCAGTATTTGATGAGTCTAATTTAAATTTATCTATTCAAAATATTAACAAGGAACAGTGTGAATCCAATTATGAGCAAGACATTTTAGAAATAAATGATAAAATTGATAAAAGTGTAGCAGATGATTCTATGAAAGATGATTCTATGAAAGAAAAATGTATCGACGTTATCGCAGATAAAGCACGTAAACAAGTGTATAAATACTTTGGAAATACAAGCAAACTAGAAAGAAAAAATACAGATGAAGATAATATAGATAAAGAAGAAAAAAATGTATTTGAAAAACCCAATGAATCGGAAATTGTTACTGAAGAGACGCCAAGAGAAACTAATGAAAATAAAAATTCGTATGAATTCAAATCCTACTCAATAAACAATTTTAGACGAGAAGTCAAACTGACAAGTGTCTTAAAATTACGTATAGAAGTAGAAAACGAATGTCACGATGGTTTGAAACATATTTTATCAGAATTAAGTTTCGTTGGCTGTATAGACCAATCTTCAGCTTTAATTCAAAGTGGAGTTAATTTGTACCTTTGTAATACACAAAAATTAGCGTAAGTGTTCATACATATTTTTTCATAAAATATTTATAATATATAATATATACATAAAATTAACTATAATAAATAAAAGCATTTCTTTTATTTAGAGAGGAACTGTTTTATGAAATTATGCTTTATGATTTTGCAAATTATGGAGTCATCAAATTTTCGGTATGTACATTAATAAAAAATATTATTATTATGTTGAACATTACGCTCATTTGCAGGAACCACTTCCTTTATATGATATAGCTATGTTAGGATTAGATACTGAAGAAGCTGGATGGACAAAGGAAGATGGATCAAAACAGGAATTAGCCACAAATGTTAAAGAATTATTATTAGAGAAAGCAGACATGTTAAAAGAATATTTTTCCATTGTTATAGATAAAAAAGGAAATTTAAAATCTTTACCAGTATTATTAGGTAAATATATTTTAATAAACTACTTTTTAAACTATTTTTTATATAATAAAAAATGAAATACGATACAAAATATTCTTTTTTCAGAAAAATATTTTCCATCTATAAGTGGTCTTCCTCTTTATATATTACGTTTAGCTACCGAAGTAGAATGGTCGTCAGAGCAACCATGCTTTCGAACCGTTTGTAGAGAAACAGCAAAATATTACAGTCAAATGAGTTCTACACATGATACTCATGATTGGAAGTACATTACAGAACATGTTTTATATGCTGCAATTAAGGAGAGTTTCCTGCCCCCTAAACATTTTGCACATGATTCAACAATATTACAAATAGCCAATTTGCCTGACTTGTATAAAGTTTTTGAAAGATGTTAGATATTTACGACAAAATTGATGTATTATAAAAACTAAATATTATTTGTTTAATAATAAATTCAGTTATATATATTATGATAAAAAATCGTATTTATTATATTGACTGTAAATTTATATTTATTTTTGCAAATTTTATAATAAATTTTTTACTGAATTAAATATTACCTTTCTATATTATTTTAATGGAATGTAATATGGTATAATAAAAGATATAATATTTAAATACATACAGATCTATTTCTCAATCAAAGAAACATGAAAATTCAAAATGATTATCACACGTTCTTTTAAATATAATAAAATAATAACAATTTTATTTTTCATAAAATTTGTTCTTGTTCTTGTGATATTTATACTTTGCTGTATTACATTAAAATTTTAATTACAATATATATGTGCCAATATTCCATTCATGGACACCTCTTATGAGATTATATTTAATCTTTTTTTAATTAATAACCATGAATTATCCTTTGGCAACACCAACTAATGCTGGTCTTACTACTCGTTCATGTAATTTGTAACCCAATTTAGATACAACTACAACTGTTCCTGGTTCTTTACCCTCAACCTCCTACATAAAAATATGCTTATCATTATTAATTTAATACACAACGATTCAGATAAATAAAATACTAAAATCTTACCTGTTGAAATAATGCTTCATGTTGATTAGGGTCAAACTTTTCATTCAGAGGATTTAGCGAAACTAAACCATGTTTTCTAAACACCTATACAAATATGTTTCAAAGAAATAATTTATGAAATATAACAGTTATATGAAAACATTTGAATATTTTCTTATTTACTTTATGTAATTGTGCCTCTGTCATCTTTAAGCCTTCGTATAATGTTTTCAAATGTGGATTTTTTTCTGTTAATTCATCCTTTGGTACACTTTCTGTTGCTTTGCCTAAAATGTCTGCTACTTCTAACAGATCTTTACAAAATCCTTGGATACCAAATATTTTTGCATCTTCAATTTGTTTAATTAATCTAACCCTAAGATTTTCTCCATCGGCAAGTGCTCTTTTGTATTTATCTTCCAAGTCATTTTTATGACTTTTCAAGTCTATTAACTCCTTATTAAGAAGTTCAATATCTGCTTTCAATTTCTTTTCATTTTCTGTGAATTCTGGAGGTGCTCCAGTTTCTGATTTTTGTTCTTCTGTAATTGTACTATACTCTTGCCTTTGCCAAGAAACATGTGATAGTTGAGTTAACCTTCAAATTACGAAAAACGTTTTTAAGACATGATTCCTTTTCTCTCCTTCAAAAAGAACATTATTAATACGTATTCATTTATTAACATATCTTATATCATAATGAATTGTTTAATTCCTTTACCAGTAACATAATTAGTTAATTATATAAGGTTTCATTTAAATCTTTGACAACTTTAAAAAATATACGATCATCTTTATTAAATATATTACAATATCATTTAAAAAATGTTTGTGATAATAAAGTAATAAACATTATATAGTAATCTAACCTCTATATGTATGTTGCAATATAAGTTCAATGAGTCGCATGTTTTAATAATACAACGAACTACAAAGAATCTTACCTAAGTAATATATTTTTATTTATATTGTGCAAACTATCAATCGAGGCACGAGTAAATCTTGTTGCAACCGGTACCACGAACGATGCCATAGTTATAATTTCATAAAAATCGGTAAATGATGAATTACAGCAATACAGCGATCCTCGTGCTTTCTCAGTGGTTCTCAAACATTTTTTATAACATAAGAATCGCGATAAGAAACTGTAACCATTAAATATTTCAATGTTACGTAAAACGTGATATCAAATTTCTAATCATAAATGCCTATTAAATTCGCGTTGATTTTAAGATTGAAAATTAAATTCGTTCGTTATAACAATTATTACAATTGAATCATATTTTTAATATTTTATTGGAATGAAGTGATACAATACAATGAAAACTTCGCGATCATAACTTTTATGATTCTATCTTCTTTTAATACCTGCGTATCTTTTATTTACAAAAACTGAAACTATTATTTAACATGTTAAATAAGCAAGAGATTTTAAATAGTATATCTTGTTTGGGAAAAAGAATTTTGTAGCGTATATCGAACTATTTAGAAACTTTCAATTCTAAAATAAGCTAAAAAGTTTCAAATTTTTTTTGACGCATGCGATATCCTAAACCGGATAGCATTAAAAATTTGTTATTTGAATAATAATTAAGCTTAATCTGTTTTTTGTCCTGTAGATATAACTTGTAACACTGTAAGTTAATTTCTTACAGTGAGCGTGATTTTTGCAATTTATATATTATGCTAGCATTCATAAATAAGAATTTGATTCTTTTTAAACATATCACATACACTTTTAAAAAAATTTTTTTATAATATAATTTACGATTTCCATTCTTTTATAGTTGTTCATTCTTTCCGTAAGTTAGAAATATTTTTCATTTATCATTGTATAAAATTATTACAGTGCAACTACATTGATTACAAACAGAAAAAAAAAACATTGCATGATATCTGCATATTTTAATCGGAATAAATATTTAGTATTTTCGGATGCGTGTACTTGAAAAAAGTGAAATATATAACACATAAAACAGTACCATTCGATCTTGAGAAAAAACAGCAAACAGATATAATTTATGTCGAAAGTTATATAAATTGTTCTTCGATTACCAGTAATAAGCATTGTGTACATCTTATCTGGCATACTTATTCAACATTTAATACAAAAATTAATCTATTTTTTATCTAGTATTACATTTTGAGTGTGCAAACGTCGATCAACAAATTCTAGTGATAAAATTACTTAATCATTAAATTTTTCTTTAATGTACATAAATAAATCATTTATCAATCAACCTTCCGCATGCCTTCTAGCAGATTAAAGATCAAATTTCACTGTTTGTTTTTATCATGAAGATAGAATGAGGTCTACAAACATTCAAATTTTTATCGGCACGTGAGCCTAAAAAAACGTACAAGTTTCACTATAGCTTGTACAAAATTATAAATATTTTCATTAACATTTGTCTTTTTCTTTACATATTTTAAGTGAAAATACAGAGTAGACAACTACCTCTTGTTTCACAATATGTAATCAGTGTTTTTTCTTTATGTTTGAAGGAATTGTATGTCTGACGCAATGCCGAAAACAGATCGATCACACTTTATCAATCGTTTGACACCATTTTCAAAGATAACTAAAATATATAGAGGTTAGAATCCTTCCTGATATTGTTTTGAATCTAACTTCGCTTGAATCACTTCCAATTGTCTCTTTGCTTCACATTGTGGGAAGTTTTGTAAATCGTAATATTGTGGCGCTATTTTAAGCAACCAATCAGCTACAAAATGTACAATATTTATAATATATACATATAATATACATATTTATATTTTTTTTATATTATTCAATAAAAATATAACTTACGTTTAATATCTGTAACTGTTCTGATATAATTTTTGGTCGTAAGCACGAACTCGTTATAAATTACCCATTCGGGTTTATGATCCAAACAACTGCTTGGATGGAGTTGTACAATTTGATTATCTTTGATAGTTAAATAATGACCAGTCCTTTCTAAATGAGCGACCTTTTAATATATGTAAAAAGAAAGTATATAAAAAAATGTTTATGTATATAAAAAAATTTTTTTGCTATGAAAATATTCTCAGTTATATTTACCTGCATGAAGAAACCATTTACAAGAGCTTTTCTAATATTGATATAATAATCTTTTGATGTGAAGTCTGTAGAAGTACGTTTCAAACAAAATCTATCCATTATTCTACTTAGTTGTTGTCTAACATTATCTCCACTTTTTAAAGATCGGTAATTGACAAAGTTATCATAACACCATTGTGGGTCTTCAAAATCTATAAAAAAAAAATGAATAAAAATTTGTAATTTGACGAATATAATATGGTCTTTGAAAAATCGCAGATGACTTACTTTGTTTAAAAGCATGATAAACATTTAATAACGTTAGATGATCTCCGTCGATATGTGCAAATCGCATTTTAGCATCATCCGCAGCTTTTTTTGATTCATTTGGCCTCACAAAACACTGTGGGACTAATACAATATCAATCATCAATTTAAAACCACGTTACCTTACCATGATCCTGACTTAGTAACTTTCGCTTTTTATCATATTAAAATTACTGTATTTCCAAGAGATATATGGGCCTAATAATGTGATAAAAAGAAATGTTCTTAATAATACTGTACCTGACAACATAGCAGTAATGCTCAATATTTCATTACTGCAATTATGATTGCAAGATGCAATAAGCATTTTTGCTAACTGAGGATCTAATGGAAATTCCGCCATCACAGCACCCAAATCCGTAAGGTTTCCATCATCATCTAAAGCAGCCAAATAATTAAGAAGTTCTAAAGCCCTCATAAGAGTTTCTGGTGCAGGTGGATCCATAAAATCGAAATGCACCTATACCAAAAAATATTTATGAAAAAAAATATTTAATTAACAAATAATTTATCTTCCTGAGAAATCTGCAGTATACCAAATCGTCAATGCCAAGTTTTTTCAGTTGCAATACAACACTACCAAGATTAGATCTTAAGATCTCAGGATAAGTATTATCTTGCATCTCATTTTTATATGCTTTTTCTGTGTACAACCTAAAACATTTTCCGGGTCTTGTACGACCAGCTCTACCAGCTCTTTGCTGGGCAGAAGCTTTACTAATAGGTGATACAAGAAGAGATTCTACACGAATTCTAGGATTATATACCTGTTAAATAATATATTAAAAGTTAACAAAATCAAATGTAGATAAAAAAAAAATAATAATGATCTAATACCTTTTGCTTCGCAAATCCTGGGTCTATCACAAAGACAACACCGTCGATAGTTAACGATGTTTCTGCAATATTTGTTGAAACTACGACTTTTCTACCAATAGCACCATTGGGTTTTGTAGGTGGTGCTGGCTCAAAAATTCGTTGCTGAAGATTTGGAGGCAGTGTGGAATAGAGTGGTATGCACTTAAGTTCACCTACTTCTGGACCTAAATTATCCATTTCTCTTTTGATTCTTTTACAAGCTTCCTCAATTTCCTCTTGACCAGTTAGAAAAAGAAGCAAATCTCCTGCTACTTCTTCACACATATGAATTTGAATAACTGTCCTGATAGCAGCCTCTAAGTAATCCCTTTCAGGTTCAGGTGTATAAAAAATTTCAACAGGATGAGTTCTGCCAGGTACATTCATTAAGGGTGCATTATCAAAATACTGTTGAAATTTTCCAGCATCTAAAGTTGCACTCATAATCACAAGTTTTAAATCTGGTCTCTGTTTAATCACTTCTTTTAACACACCCATAAGCAAGTCTGTGGCTAAAGTTCTTTCGTGAGCTTCATCTAATAATATCACTTGATAAGCATCAAGCATGGGATCTGACATGCCTTCACGTAACAGCATACCATCAGTCATGTACTTCAATATAGTTTTTGGAGAACTACAATCTTCAAAACGAATACTATATCCCACTTCTTGACCTGTTTAAGAAAATTATTATGAAAAAATTATATAAATATAACATAACTTTTAGTTTAACATGTTTGCTATCGCAGAAAAGAGATTCCAACGTCGACCTATTATTTATATTTCAAATTTCGGCAAAATGTATTGCAAATTTTATTTTTAATATTGTAAAATTATTCATGGTATTAAAATTTAATAAATAAGCATGTAAATCTAGTTTTTCAATATTTTCACACTAAACCATACAAAAACATAAAAATTAACTGCTGTCACAATGTGTGACTCTAGGATCTCAATAAAAATCAATGCATCACAAATATGTGACACTTGTAGCAAACACGTTAAAAAGATACAAATTAAATTTAAAAGAATATACCTAATGCAACATCCATTTCTTCCGAGACTCTTTGTGCAACGGACATAGCAGCTACTCTTCTTGGTTGAGTACAAGCAACACCTTTGTTGCCAATGCGCCTTGAATATTCCACACACCATTGTGGTATTTGTGTTGTTTTACCAGAACCTGTTTCTCCAACAAGTACAATACACTGATGTTGTGCTAATAACCTCATAAAATCAGCACGGTACTCAAATACAGGTAAAGTGATTCTTTTTTTATAAAATTCATGATATCTTGGTGTATAAGGAAGGCTAGTGTAAGGATTCAGCTGAACTTGGTTTTTTGGTGCTGCCGAAGGTGTAGTTGCGCTATTAGATGTAGCTGAGCCATCTCTGTGAAACATGCAAATTATAATGATATACTTGAAAATTATTTTAATCACATAATAACAAAATAATACATATATAACAATGACATAAAATAACGAAAATTGAGAACACTTTGTTGGTTATAGAAACAAATTAAATAGAAAACAAATGATGTTTAAGATCATCTAAAAATTCGCTTGTACATCCATATAAATATATCCACATGTATTTTCAACATACCGTAGTATTGTACATTAACTTTTTATACATATTAATATACAACTAGTGAAACGTACTGTGGAAAATGAAATCCAGTTGAGAACCTTTTATAAATGAGTTGACTAAACAAGTCAACAGCAATAAAAAAGAACTATTTCATAAATTCAAATTACATTTATACAATACATTTGTACAGTCTTTTTGTTATATTATTGCTCAACAAATCAATCATATTTTACATAGATTATTTTCAGGAAATAAGATTTGTTCGAGATGCGCGACAGAATCACAAAAACTTGTAACAATGCACATGGCAAGATATCTCAAGAATTCTTTAACATTTATAATTAAAGATATAATTAAAAATCAAAACACTCACGCCTTCCGTTTAATGTACGGATCCACAACCTCGATTCTCCGTTTTGACATAATTCTTGTCCCTCCGCAGGCAAGCAAAGCAAAATCTGTTTACGAACTTCCACACAAGGCGTCACAAAATGGCAAACTAACAGGCTAAAGCTTCCTGTAAACGTGATTACAAAAAACAACGATAGATGGAGCTATGGGTAAAATATATAATTATAGAACAAGAATATACCTGAAACGCGGGTAAATTTAAATTTATGTAAAGATGAAAGCAATCTTGTGAATCCAGAAATAAATAAACTTAAGATAAAAAAAGATATTTATTTTTGGTATATTACAATTAGAAAAAATATAATTAGTGTCATTAAACAGTTATATTCCTAACAACATATATTGCTTCATTATCACATCCAAAAAGTAATGTTGATCTATCAATATCAATACTATTTATTGGCTTGTGCATAGCATTACAAAGCGACGTTACATTAACTTTACCATTTGTACCAATTGTATTTAACCAATGTGTATTTGTAGGATCTAAAAAAAATGAACAAATTATTAATGTATAATAAAATTTATATATTTTGAAACTTACCTAGACTTAGTTTAGAATGTTGAGTATTATTCCAATGCCATAATTCACCGCTTGCCGAGCATGTGAATAAATTTTCAGGTCTGTCAGGATGAAAAAGTATTTCACTTACAGCTTTAGCATGAGCATTGAGTTGAGACATTGGATATGTATTATGCCTCAAATCCCAGACTGTTAAGCTGCCATCACCACCACCAGCCACAACAATATGTCTCTGGGTTGGATGATGAGCAATACTAGTAGCTTCTGTCTATAACATTTTTCTTGATTTTAGAGTACATTGACAATTTCTTCTTCTCTCTTCTTTCAAATAAAATTAAACAAGTTATACTTTTGATTGGTCAGAAAGCATGAACGTTGTAGCAGGAAGATCTTGATCATTTCTTAAATCCCATACTTTCATATGTCCCCTTAAATTTCCTGTAAGTATCTCATTATGTCTTAAGAAATCAATACAATATATAGAACAACTATCCGCATCATCTGAAACAAATTTAGTTATTTGCATATAAAATTAATACATAAAATAAACATTGTATACAGAGAATAAAATGTTATAGTACTAATAGATCTAACTGGCTGCTTCTGCCCAGCTGTTAAGAGATTAATTCTCCCATCTTCACCCACTGAAACTATATCTTGTTCGAAGGTGGAGAGCCCAGTACAAGATGCATAATCATTTGTGTTACTATTAAAAGAAAAAAAAGATCAATCAAATGTACACTGTATCTGAAAAATAAATCTTAATTAATAAAACTTACTCAAATTTGTGTATAAATTCCCATGACATGTGTTCTTTAAATTGAGAGTATGGATTTTCATGGATCTGTAATAATCTAACAGTGCCTATGGACGTTGATATCACGAAAAAATCTTTCGAAATAAACTACAACAATATTAAAATATTGTTAAAAGAATTGTCCAGAATATTTTTGGTTAAATAAATAAATACCTTTATTTCAGTTACGTCTCCAAGAATCGCATAAGATGATACAACTGCCGGGTAAGATTCACCATCATCGTTCATTTGAAATGTCCAATGTGTTACTTTATTGACCTATTATACAATAAAAAGTTATAATATTATAAATGTTTAATATAATTTAATACAAGAATCGTATATGATCTACGTATACGAAGATGCAATAGGTTAAGTGAATTGAAGATAACCTTACCGGGTCGTCCCAACTACCGGTTATAAAATTAGTAGCATCTTCAAAATCTTCATGTTTCCATCTGATTTTAGAAATTTTCTCCGACACAAATGTTCCTTGTACATTTTCACTCATTTTGTTACGAAATACGGCTTAATTTGGAATAGAAGCGATAAAAACGAAGATCACCGTTTGCATGGACGCGCGTTTCTACGCGACTGTCAAAAAAAGCGCCAAATCCGTTAAGCGTGATTTTTGAAAATATATTCGCATGTGGTGTATTTTATTCTTTTACTTAATAAATAAATATAGAGAGAAAAAATTGTTTTAATTGTTTTAGTTATTTTACGTAGTCAAAGACGATTATTCTAATGTAAAAGT